TCCCCCTCCCCCTTCCTCCTCCCGCCCCTCCCGCCCCTCCCTCATCGGGGTCCTCAGCATCAACATGCACGGGGCTTCATTAGCGTTCGCGTAATATAAATCAAACGACGACCCGTTTTAATTTATAAAACGCCATTACGCCTTATGAATGACCCATTCATGTGAGAGCCCTCGCTTCGTGGACACGTGTCCCCGTTGTTACGTCCACGAGAGTCGGAAAGGGAGAGCCCCGGGACGAAGAGAGACCATGGGAAGAAGAACGAGAGAGGCAGAGGATCGACGAGGACGGAGGAACGTCGAGGGAGAGAGAGAGAGAGAGAAAAAAAAGAAGAGAACGAAGGGCGAGAAGAAGGACGAGGACGACGAAACGAACGCGAGCGAGATCGTTCCGCGAAGGAATTTTCTCTGGTTGGTGAATCGATGGAACTCTGCGGTTCGATCGACGGCCGTGTACAACGGGGCGTGAAAAGAGAGAAACGAGACGATCGGTCGACGAAGAAAGGAAAACGGAGACGGACACGTTGGACGAGAGCAAAGGGCTTCGACGTTCGGCAATTGGCGCAGGAGAGAGGCTGCTTACGAGAATACCGGCGAAGGAGAAAGATCGGCATGCATAATGGAGGGGAAAGAAGGACGTTGAAGCCCTGTTGTGACGCAGCCTTAGCTTCATCGCGGTATACATATCCAGCGGACCTGCTGAGGCCCATTCTCTGCCGGCCGTCTCCTCTGCCCTTCCGCTTCTGAATCCCTCACGTTCTGGCCCTTGCCCCTCCAACCATGCTCGCTTCCACTCGCTCTGCCTCCGTCCCACGTCGACGATTCCTGTCCTCAGAGTTCTCCTTCTACATTCCTTGGGTCCCGAGTCGCCGTGCGGCGGAGACGCTTGGGCGGGAGGTGGAATACGAGAGGCCCTATACAAATCACCGGGCTACCGTCTTACCCGGGCTCATTCTTTCTCTACCGTTCTCGCTCTCTCCCCTCACCGTCCACCTACCTCTCCGTCCCTCCTCTTCTTTCTCTTCTCCTTTTATCCTTCCCCTCCCTCCATCGACGCTCGTTTCCTTTCTTTTCCTTTTATACGTATATCCCCGTCCTTCTCGATCGCGAGCCAGCCTATTATCTCTCTCATTTATCGTGTTCTCTCCCTCTTCTCCTTCGTCCGTGGTCCCACTCTCCGCGTTTTCGGGGCCCGGTCTCCTCCACCCTTCGTCTTTTCTATATAATACGCGCACGAGGGGTGTGTCGCTCTCTTCGTTCCACCGTCCGCGGGGTCGTTCCTTCCTCCTCCTAGCCCCCCGCCTCCCCCCTTGTGCACTTTCATGTTCCTTTTCGTCGGTTCCTTTTTCTCTTATTGCGAACAACACGCACCTCGACCCTCGGCCACGCACACGTACCACGCGTTGACGCCCAAAAAATTTGACGTTTCATATAAATTACTCGCGACGTCGCCCCGGACCCTGCCGCGTATCTGCGTTAGATGGCCCCGTTGATCGATCGAATCGTTCGGCGAAAGAACGAAAACAGATTCCTCTCCTACGAAGGGATCGTACGCGTTCCGATAGAATATTTCGAGAACTCGTCGATTTAAAATTCCATCGATCGCGTCGCGACGCGAAATATTGACCGGGGACAGCGTCGTCGGCAAAAGGTGCCTCGATCGCGAAACATTCGAGACGATTCCGAGAGGGTTGTAACCAAAGAACGTTTCGGCGGCTGCTCGCGCACCGCGCCGCCCGGGGCGATCTTTCTCGATATCTATTTTTAGTAAGAAGCGTCCAAGACCAGACGGTGGTGATTACAAAATTGCAGCAGCGATTGGTCCGTGTCATTTTACCGCCACAGGCATGGGGGTCGGGACAGGGAAGCCAAGAAGAAGAAGAAGAGGAGGAAGAACAAGACGAAGACGAGCCACGGACGTAGAAGAAGCACCAAGAGTAGTAATAAAAAAAAAAAAATCCTACGAGAAGAGGACGGGGGAAAAAGGACGAACAAGAGGCAACGACGGTAGTAACAATAACGTCACGAGGAAAAAGAGGACGATGCCGAAGAAAGAGCTACCTTGGCTAAGAAGGCCACCCATAGAAACGCGCAAGGCCGGAGGAACCTGTGGGCCCCGTCTTAGAAGGAAAACATGCGGGGAAATGGTCAGTGTCGCGGACGGGGTTGAAGAAGAAACCCTATGGAGCATCCACGGGGGTACGATTCCCGGACGTGGAGGGACACGGACACGAGCACGACGAGCACAGAGGCCGGCGGGCAGCGTTCGCGCAAACCGAGGCACGCATGCAGGGGTGTGAGACGGCTTTTTGTACTTGTTTTGGCTTTTCAGATGCATTTTTTTCCTGTCGTGGCATGGCTCGCGCGCCTCAAAACCCGCCAGCTCAGGCTCGCCGTGATGGGGCCCCGCTGGAATGTAGGTGGTAGGGGTCCCGCAGGGCCCTGCGAGGCCCAAGAAGGGTCTGCGCTGGTGGGGGTACCAGTCGGACCGGCTTGTCATGACTGGTGGGAAGGCAGAGTAGAGCGAGGGTAGTGGCGAGAGCGAGTATTCGGTGAAGGGAAGGGACGGTTCGCAACGGGCCAGAGGGCGAGGGAGAGGAAGAAGACCACAGTATGCAGAAAGATCTCAAGATTAGTCAAGAGTTTCAGACTCCTCAGGCTGATGTTTATGCAATTTCGCTCTCCTTTCTAATTCGTTCGTAGTTTACCGTCAACGTGTCTAGGACACTTTCTCCGCGGTTCGTGGATCCCGTCTGGTCTTTCGATCCGCCGCAAATAGAGTGTCGTCGTGCGTCGCGAGATCCCGAGCTATCGGTGAAAGTATACTTATCGCATCTATGGTCTCCCCTTTTTCCTATTTTAAGTTTCTAAACTAGCAAACATTGGGTAGTGATATTCGGAAATTGACGAGGATTAAATTCTGGGGATTTCTGACTCATACAAATTTTGGAACCCACGCTGGTTCATAGAACGAAATTTTCTCAATCGTGCCCGAGCCTGATCGCACGAACATATCAACATATAATAAAACCGAACCTTATAAGAAATAAAATACAACGATTGTCAGGCCTATCACTGGTTAAACAATTTGAAAAAAATCAAACAAGTTTTGTATCAACGACACAATAGCCTTGTAAAAGGAAAGGGAATTATCGAACGAGGAGAAGTTTACTATTTTTCATAAAATATTGCTTTAAGTTGTTGAGGACGACCTAATATTTCCTAGCAATTTTTCACCTCTGAAGCCAACTTTTACCATCCACGATGATCGACGTTGTCCCGTAGAATTTTTAACGCAACGAACAAATCGATTATTCTCGAATGAATTGGACGATTCTCTGTTCATGTGCCCCAGCCATCGTCAGCAATCGCGCTTGTGCCGCGTCTATCAATCGGCTGGGTTAACAACGGTCCCGTCACGAAATCGCGAGGGGAATTTTACGTCCGCGGCCGTGTCGAGGATTCGCGCTTTCGCGAAATGCAACACCTAATGACTCGCGTGAGCTTCGGTAATTCGATCTACTCCGAAAGGAAGTTTAAAAGTGGCGCGCCGTAATTCGAGGCGGATACGCTACCCCGCAAGTCATTCACGATGCTCACCGGCCCGTCCGACCGCATTTCGTCCGTTAAACGATGGATCGACGGAATTGGGACCGTCGTTCCACGAAGGGCGCGTTTAACGTTTTTAAAACACGTTCGGTTCCCGAAGGTATCTTTTCGACGTAGTCCCTGCGTCTTCCCTGACGCTCGACCCTGCTGGAAAGTCGAAACGCGTTTCATTTTCAATCCACGATTATAAAAATTTAATTAAACCGTACAATATTCGAAACATCCATAAAATATTGGATCACCTTGAACAGCATTTATTAATAGACAACGGATCTTCGTGCAAATTCCTAGAGGGTTGTCTCGACTCCTAAATGTAATAATTCGTATCTTGCTTAAAAATTTCCTATAAGTGTGTAAACATTATTAAATATGCAAAGCTACATGCACGAAGAACATTAAGGATTTACAGAATTCAAAGGTGGTTGTCTGTACATAATAATCGTCTAAAATAATAAATGAAAACTGACTACGACACTTCAAAATATATGTGTGAAATATAAAATAAAAATTATAGTAAACATTATTTGCTCCCGTGTTTTTCTTTAAGAGAATATCCCAGTACATTTTCCACGGCTGTTATATCGAAATCTTTATGGATTTTATAATTGCCGATATAATACGATACGCAATACATTTCGATTTGATATCTTTGCATTAAAGTTTATGATGGTTGACTTAGCACATTCCCAGAGTTAAATTCCATAAGTCTAGACCGGTTTTAGAATGATTTTGCATCACAGCAATTTATTTTCAACTCGAGGTTTTGATCGATGATCCAGCAAACCGAGACATTTTTTCCGCGCGTTATTTTCATCTGACGCCTGTTTTACTAACAAGTCATGTTTCCACTTTATCGTTTTATCGATGTTTAAGCCGGGGGTATTTATTCCTTATCAGATCTTCGCTCGTCGTTTAACAAAACTGGTAAGCAAACAGTTTACTTTATCGTAGAATCGACATGTACCGATTTTGATCGTGATAGCCTTTATTCGCTATTTGGACAGCCAATAGCACTTGACTTACGTGTTCTTGAAGGTGTCTGAATACGATTACAGGATTTTATAATAGCTGTGTCATCGACGAAGGTTGTATTTGTCATATTGGAACTGTTTGATACACTATATGTACCTGTATTGTTGCATTTAATTTAAAATTATATTTCCTAAAGATAGAATTTGATTATGTGATCAGACCATGCCAAAAGCTTGTTTGATATCGAGGAACGCTGCTGAGCAGAGTATGTGGGTTTATCGGATGGTTGGCCAAGGAAACCGAACCAATAGTTTGGCATAATTTTTCTCTCCTTAGAAGAACATTTTTCAACTATATGGACAGTACACCGTTTGAAAACGCGAACGAAGGATTGACAGAAGGGAGAAAGGTCGTTTACTCACCGGATAGTATTGCCAGACCGAATAGTTCGCAATCTCGCATGCCCTGCTGGCCAAGAAGCATGCATGTCTGCGCGTACACTTCTTTCACTCTCGACTTCGCCTGAAACGACACATCAGAAATGTTAGAAGATAAGAGAATTCTATTAAATTATTAAAATTTTACCGAGAAAAACATTTTAAATATCATTGCCCTAAAATTATCACCGTGTTAATAAGAAAGTTCTTAATTCTTCGCTCCTCTCTTACATCATTCTCTTAACACTTTGACTGCCACGACACTCATATATGGGTGACAGAACTTTTAACAGTGAAACTAGAACAATTAATTCTCAAGTTGGAATGTTAAAGAAAATAAATTTGAAAAGGCTTCGTAAATTTTAATGAGCTTACGAAAGTAACTACTACGACTACTTTTAAGTTGTGTAATTTGCAATTGTCTAAAATCAAAGTTTCAGTCACGTAAACAATTTTAAGATTTTACACTGGCAGTCAACGTGTTAAACAATAAATTTACCAAATCCTCCCGCTATGTTGACAATCCCGACGCTTTACACGAGCGTAGATTGAGAAAGTCTACCAGGTATTCTCAATAATAAAGTACATATTCGACATTAATGTCGCGCATTTCTACATTTCGCGCCATCGACAATTTCCCCGTTTCCTGCGTCGACGTTTCGTCGCATAAATTTCGATAGGTGTTAATATTGGATTTTATGTCCGCGTTTGCCTTCGTAAAAATCTGTCAAAAACCCGCGTAAAACGCATAAACGCTAATGCCGTTTACGCAAGGGATTCCGGTTTCTTTGGAATATGGGTTACCGACTTAAAGCTGCCCGGTGTGAACGGTACATAAATTTTAATTGCGCGTTGCCCTCTCGGATCGAGACGCGAATGGCGCAACGATCTTAAATGCCCGCGAATTTCCCGCGTTCAGATTCGACGGCTGGTAAATTTTCTTGACGATTTCACCGTGAATTCGTAATTACATAATGGGACCGATGTCGGGCAAGGGTTTCGACAGCGATACGATCTTATTTCGCGTACTCTATTACCGGTCACGTGCGTTCCGAGCCCCCTTCCAAGAGGAAATACAGTCGACTGAACTTGTACAGCCAATTACAGATAAAACATGATTCCGATTAAATCGAGTAACTTGGAAATATTAAAATAGAATTTATTTATTTCGTGCCAGGAACTTTGCATAATGTAAGAAACACCAACGCTTACGTTCTAGTAAGATGGTGTTTGATAAAGTGATTTACGTAAATGTAAATAGCTACTGTGGTTGCTAATACCCTTTCGAGTTGATGCAACCTCGGTAGAAACGTCGTTAGAAAATAAATTGAAAAGTCGGTGGTTCGTTGCTAATCGTACAATATAGTTTAAACGAGGGAGGAACGACTTTTGTTTTCGGAAAGTCGCACGACGCGTCGAAATTTCATCTGTTCGCGAGTAGGAACGTGCACGTTGGCATTCTGCAACGCGCGCGCGCGCGTGTAATAACAATGCGTGGATGAATGAATATTGCAAACGGTGAAAGCGTACCACATACCAAACTCGTTACAACCGTCTCGTAGCAGCTCGCAAACGTGGCTTTGGTTGGCCGTGTCATACGTCGATCAAAGTATGCTGCGGCTACCACACTCGAAATACACTTTCGCTTCCTCCGGTCGCGATAAAATTTAATATCGTTCGACTTGTGAAAACGACTCGTTGCTCGAAACGGATCGCGTAAATTTTTACTTCGGATTCTAGCAACGATGAATAAAACATAATAACGTGACTAATATCGACCAAAATGTAGAACGCTATTTGTTTCGCTCCGTTTATTGTAATTCGCTCGAAGAACGATGGGAATGCGTCGAATAAATTGTTTCGGAACGCGTCGGTAACAAACAACGAATTTGATAAAAAAACAGAGGAATGCTTAATTGCACGCTTAACATTATGCCGGGGAATAAATCCACGCCACAGGCCGATCGTTAATTACCGTTCACGCAAGGTGAACTTTTTTCGTTTGCTTCTTATCTAATCCCCCCCTTCTTTCTTAATTATCCTTGGTTAAAAAATCTCGAGGAAGAAGTTTCCGTCGTTCGTCGAGGAATCTCACTGGTAGCGATTATATTCTTGCCGCGGTACGCTCGATCATGCACAAGGAAATATAAGAATCTATTCCACGTGTTTCGACGTTCCAAAGTATACAGGAAAGCATGAGTAGGAGATTTATACGTGACGTTATTCATTTTTCTTATACAATAAACGCGATGTGCATGAAAAATTTACTCGACTTCAAATATTTTTAGTGTAACAGTATTAAAATGAATAGGTTACTGATCGAATTGACGCCAAAATATCGTTTCAAGATAATAAATTTCAAAATCTTTATTAGAGTATGACTTAATGAAAAGCAATTATTTCTTTTTAAAGAGTGTTAGAATATTAATAAGAAGTAGAATAGAATAGAATAAGAGTATAGAATATAATAAATTTTGAAACATTGATTTGCACGCTCCTTTTAAAGTCGTACAGAAGCCTTCTTTTTGTTTATCAAATAAAATATAATTTTGTTTACTCGTTCTTTATAAAGAATGAAAACAAAATGTTTACAACAAATTACTACAGAGATTAAAATGTACGAGTATTGCGTCAGAAGATACAGAACATCGAGAAATTAGAAAAAAAATCTATTTATTAGTGTCAAAAAAAAAAATCAAGGAAAACTTGTTCGTTCCAACAGGCATTATGCAAATCAAATCTAGCTTGTAACAGGCTATTTTACATGTCGGAGTATCTAAAAAAAAACACCTTTGAAATAAATATTAGCAAGTTATATATCAGATTTCGCTGAAGAGTATTAAAAAAAAAGTATTTATTTCAATAATAAAATGTATGAGTAAGTCGATCAAAGTGTGACTTTTTCTACATTTCTAACAAGCATAGAATTCATATGGAGGTTTGTTTGCTTCACTGGTGTTCGTTTCATGGTGATAGAAGAGCACTTGCATATAAATAATTGAATTTTAGAAGGAAATGATCATGCAACATCTTAATAAATAAAACGATGACGAATATGTGTTCCACAAGTCGTATAGGAGAATCTTTCGATTCTTTTTGCAAACAATTCTAGAAGAAGGCTTAAATATTGATCTTCCGGACGAAGATAATATCTTAACACTAGATTTATGGGAGTCATCAATTTGACGGATGTCAGATTCCATATTTAAAATTGCAGAACGCGTAAATATTATTTTTTAACAACTTACGTTGAATTTGTTCGATGCAATGAATACATATTCTAATTAAAAGAAAAATCGTATTTTAACCTTTTGACTGCGGCGCGTCCTAGGAAGAATCCATCAACATAGATGGCGCGATGGTCGCATGCCTGTCGCTGCGACTGGTGACCAAAAAAGTACCCGGAGATTTAAGAGACCATTCTTACGGTTTAAAAAAATAATAAATGCAAGTAAATTAAAATATCCAATTTTTACCCAATTCCATGTCGAATCAATTGGTAAAACAGTAAAAGGCGTTATAGTGAACAAAATGCAGAGGACGTAAATTTACGCTTTTCGTTAATAATTCAAAAACGAAGCTCCACGCGAAATTTTTGCAAAGGAAATTGTTGCTCAGAATTGTCTCAGCTACTTTTCCGGTTCTTACACTATTTACGGGACACCCTGTATATTGATAGACTTGTGAAAGAGTATATATACGCCTTTAGCAGTCAAAGGGTTAAGGTAATCGTCAACATGAAAGGTATCAATAAACATACGTGAGATCAATGCACGTAAATCTGGTGTTAAAAACAGACGAATCTTTCCCATTGTAGAAAGAGAATGAGAGGAAAGATCGCGATTCTCTTTCTTAACGGCGTACCGTGTGGCAGCTAGCTGACGATATACAACGGACCCATACACGGTAATCACGATTTAAGCACCGTATAATTATGGAAAAGTTTGCGGCGCAGCCGCAGTCATTGTTCCTTCTGCGCTCAATGAATTACAAATTAGATGGTAAGATGCGTGCACGCGAGTTCGCGCAACGGAGAGAAAAAAAAAACGACGAACACCCACGAATATTCAACTTGCAATTTGCTCAGCCTCGATTTCCTACCGTATAACCGAGCCTTTTTTCTTCTCGCCACGCGATTAAATTAGCTCGAAAGTCGGCACGAGCGACGCACAGCATCCCTTCGCGAGGAATTCGCAACAGCTCCGAAAGTAACAGATTTTTTAATTCTTTTCGAAGGAACCATTTTAAATTAGCTTTGTATTTCTGGAGGGACTTAAGGAAATATCTTTAAATTATTATTTTTTTAACATCACGGAAATTTACAAGGTTTACACTATTCAAATTCGAATTTTATTACTCCATTTCCCTTCATTCGTTATTACCACTGAAATGAACAGTTTGCTCGGGTTGATATGGACCACGGAGTTCGCTGGGCGTGGGTTAACGCGTTTCTGCGCAACGAGAGTGTACGAATCAACGAGGGAGCCTCTGCTTTAGCGACAAATGCGCGAACGTTTCCGTTTCGTCGGCAAAATCTCCCGGTTGTTCGTCCGCCGGCCGTAGCGAAAGAATTGTTCGATACGGCTAATAAAAGCCATATTATTTTACATGATTAGAAAGTTACCTGATGTAACACAAGCTATCCTGTTCCACGGAAACCGGTTGAAGTTCCGCTACAGTAGAGCATCGGAATCTATCTGGTGCGTACAAACGACCGGAGGAGAAAAAATCGAAGCAATAAAACCGCCGACGATCAAAAGAATCGAGAATCAAGGATGACGCAATTATAATGCAATTAACCGAAAAGAGCTATAAATAAAAAAAATTAAGATACTTTACTGCTGCTGAAATATTCGCAGCAATCTTCGATCTTTCGAAAAGTAAAGCTTTCTTCGCGGTACAGGTTCGCGAAAAGTTGGGAACAAAATAAATATTTATCACTCTGCTATACCAACGAATTGCTTGTCTCGAACTTGTAATGGAAATTCGCGTTTCACAACGTTTGTCTATAATTGTATGTTACGTACGAATTACGAAATTCGTAGCTGAAAATTCGTAAAGCTCGTTAAACGTTTCGTTCGCGGT